CTGAGGCAGGAGAATTGCCTGAACCCAGGAGGCGGAGGTTGCGGTGAGCCGAGATCGTGCCATTGCACTCCAGCCTGGGTAACAAGAGCGAAACTCTGTCCCAAAAAAAAAAATAAAATAAATAAATAAATAAATAAATAAACAAACATAGTATTATAAGAAGCTAGGAGACAAATGTACGCACAGTTTGTAAATACCACTTTTGCTCAGTTATATTGGAATTTTGTATATATATATATATATATATATATATATATATATTTTATATATGTAGTAGGTAAGGGCTAACAAAATCATTTCCCCTCTGCATGAAAACTTGACCTTTGGTTAACCCTCCAGTTTTATTTCTCTGGAAATCTGACAATAAAGGTGCCATGTCACCCATGTTACTAGGTGGCACTGCTTATGGTCACATGGCCCCTGACTGGTAACCTGCATCTCAGCTGTGTCAATCCTAAATACCTGGTAGAAAGCCATATCTGTGGGATCTGCTGAGCACAGTGATTCTTGTAATTGGGCATGTCCTTTGCAGAAGCCCTGGAAACAACTCCTAGGGAGTTGTTTTAAGAGAGATTGGCTCTGGTGGCCTTTCAGTCAGGGAGGCTTTTGCACCTGCCTGTTGAAATCTCTCCTCCTGGCACTGGAGCTGCCTCCTGCGGAGCCAGAGGGATTTGCTCTGAGCCACACTGTGGGTGCCTCAAGCCCTCTCCTTCCACCTGGAGGCTGACTCGAAGGCAGCCTCTCGCCTAAAGCAGCCTCTTACAGTCTTGTGCATCCGAAGTCAACCCCACTGCATATATAAATATCAATATAAATATAAATATGGCTGGACATGGTGACTCACACCTGTAATCACAGCACTTTGGAAGGCTGAGGTAGTCGGATCATCTGAGGTCAGGAGTTTGAAACCAGCCTGGCCAAAATGGTGAAACCCAGTCTCTACTGAAAATACAAAAATTAGCCAGGCATGGTGATGGGTGCCTGTAATCCCAGCTACTTGGGAGGTTGAGGCAGAAGAATTGCTTGAACCCGGGAGGCAGAGGTTGCAGTGAGCCAAGATCGTACCACTGCACTCCAGCCTGGGTGACAGAACAAGATTCCATCTCAAAAATAAATTAATTAATTTAATTAAATAAATAGGCGAGGCACGGTGGCTAGCACCTGTAACCCCAGCACATTGGCAGGCTGAGGCAGGTGAATCAAGAGGTCAGGAGTTCGAGACCAGCCTGGCCAACATGATACAACCTTGTCTCTACTAAAAATCCAAAAATTAGCCAGGCAAGGTGGCATGCGCCTGTAATCCCAGTTACTTGGGAGGTTGAGGCAGGAGAATTGCTTGAACCTGGGAGGTGGAGGTTGCAGTGAGCTGAGATCACGCCACTGCACTCCAGCCTGGGTGACAGAGCAAGACTCCATCTCGAAAAAATAATAATAATAATAAATAAAAATATGTATGTATGTATATATCTACACACACTATATGTGTATGTATATATATATTGCATTATATAATACATTGTGTGTATATATATATTGCATTATATAACACATTGTATTATATCATGGTTTTCTCTTTGTAATTCTTTTTCAGTGACTGTCGGGCCTCCAAAAAACATCGAGGTGACCCCAGGAGAAGGCTCCCTCATCATCAGGTTCTCCTCTCCCTTTGACATCCCTCATACCTCCACGGCCTATTTTTGGTACTATGTCTATTACTGGGAAGAAGCTGGAGTCCAACAGGCAAGAGCATGCTTCTTTTTTGTTTGAATTTTCTTTCCTTTGCAGTTTCCGTCTTAGCAAAAGAAAAACATCTTTAACATGGGCTAGAGCAGGGTGTCCCCGTGTCCCCGTGGAGGCTGAGTCCTCAGCCTGTTTTCATCATCCTCCTCAAGACCTGTTTTTCCACTCCGTGTGCTGAGACCTCCCTCCGCCAGGTCCATCTGAAGGGCTGGCCATCTTTTGATGCCAGTCTGTTTCCCTTGTGTGGGGTCCAGACTTTGCTGGTGGCCTGCTCATGATGCCTTTGCCACGCTCTGCAGTTTGGAGGACGTTTTAGCAGGCCTGGTTCTCCATGAGGAGTCCATGACTACAGCCCACAAGGCTTAACTGTATAAACGTTCAAACAGTTTGTGAAGAGGGCACATGTGAAGTAGGGGGAAGGCCCACTGGAGGGAGAAGGAGCCTTCCAGAGAGCAGTACCAGCAGGTGTGAGAAGGCGTGGCACACGTGGAGAACTGCAGGTGCCTAGATTGGTCAGAAACGCAAGTCACGAGGGACTGTGGCAGGTGGTCACATTGACAGAGGTACATGAGATCAGAGGGGCCTTGTCAGCCTCGGGAGTACAGGAAGAAAACAGGATGGTCTTGAAGCATCTCCAGGGCCTAAATTATCCCGGCTGCATTTAATGAGGTTCTGTTATCTATGTGAACTTCACGATTTCCTAAATTCAACTTTTGGATAATAAGAGCTTACATTTATTGAGAGCTTCCTTTATGTTTGGCTCTGGGCCAGCATTTTAGACACTTCATCTCATTTCATCTTTTTTTTTTTTTTTTTTTTTTTTTTTTTTTTTTTTTTTTTTTTTTTTTTTTTTTTTTTTTTTTTTCACTCTTGGTGCCCAGCTAAGTGTTGTATTTTTAGTAGAGAGGGGGTTTCACCATGTTGGTCAGGCTGGTGTCAAACCCCTGACCTCAGGCGATCCACCCACCTCGGCCACCCAAAGTGTTGGGATTACAGGTGTGAGCCACCATGCCCATCCCATTTCATCTTTACACCAACCTGTTTTGCAGAAAGGGAATCCAAGTCTTTAAGTCACTTGCCCCAGGTCAGCCCTGAACCACTGGCTGAGCAGAGCAGAGTCGTCTAGCTTCAGACCCCTGCTCTTGACCGCCATGTTTTTCTGCCACATACTTTATATCTGCACTTCTTCATTTTTTTTTTAGATTTACTGTTCTTTTTTTGAGAGCGTCTCACTGTCACCCAGGCTGGAGTATGGTGGTACCATCTCGGTCACTGCAACCTCCGCCTCCTGGGCTCACGCGATCCACCCACTTCAGCCTCCTGAGTAGCTGAGACAGGCTTGTGCCACCACACCTGGCTAATTTCTTTAAATTTTTTTTTGTAGAGATGGGGTTTTGCCATGTTGCCCAGGGTGGTCTCGAACTCCTGGTCTCAAGTGATCTGCCCACCTCGGTCTCTGAAAGTGCTGCGGTTACAGGCATGAGCCCCTGTCCCCAGCCTCTTCATTTCATTATGGGGAGTATGAAAATGGGAAGGGTGAGACTCATTGAAAAACAGATGTAGCATCTAGGAAATAGGGAAAAATCATTTCTCTAAATCAGAGCTCAAGATCTGGGTTGATTAGGATAGAGGGAGCCTGGCAGTTTCCAGGAGAGACTCGGCCTCTTCCAAGTCTATCCTCACCCACCGGATATGGTGCTGGCAACGCAGGAGATGGGGCGGGCGCTCTGGCCATGTTTTTCTCCACCCTCTGGTTGGTTTCTTCACTCAAGGGCACCATGTGGCAGAGCTCCCTCCCCAAGGGCCCACCCATACTTCTGTTTTTTTAGGATGGAGACCCTCCGCTTCTCTGCACTGTCAGCCCCCAGAGGGCAAGTTGCCACTTGAATCCTAGCGCCGGGCAGGGCTGCCCAGCACTAGAGGACTCCACTCCAGGTCCCTGGGGCCAGCCTCATTGATCAGCATGCCCTAATGAAGAGCGCACACAACAGGCTTCCACTGCCTTCTGGCTCCATGTCACTTAGCCTCTCTGGGCTGCAGCTTCCTTGTGTATAAAATGAAACAACCGAGCTATAAGCCAGAGCCTGTGAAGAGGAGCAGCTGTGAGGGACCCCAAGCCCCCCTTTCCCAATTTGACCAAAGCCTCTGTACTTGGCACCCATGATGAAAAGGTTCAAGGATGAAAATGACTCTGAAAGCCACAGATAGGATCTTTGTTCCAGCTGTGAGTCTGTGTGTTAGGGTCCCCAAAACCCACCCCTAGAACACTCAAAAGACTCCCAGGACTCAGCACAGAGTCACACTCTAATTTCTTTCATTTTTTGTTTTGTTTTGTTTTGAGACAGAGTTTCACTCTGTTGCCAGGCTGGAATGCAGTGACACAATCTCGGCTCATTGCAACCTCTGCCTCATGAGTTCAAGCGATTCTCCTGCCTCAGCCTCCCGAGTAGCTGAGATTATGGGTGCCCACCACCACACCTGGCTAATTTTTTATATTTTTAGTAGAGATGGGGTTTCACTATGTTGCCCAGGGTGGTCTCGAACTCATGGCCTCAAGTGATCTGCCTGCCTTGGCCTCCCAAAGTGCTAGGATTACAGGTGTGAGCCACCGCACCTGGCCCACACTCTGGTTTCCTACAGCAAAAGGATGCAAAGCAAAATCAGCAAAGGGAAAAGACTCATGGAGGAAAGTCTGCAGGGCCCGAGGTCGGCTTCCAGGAACTCTCCCTGAGCTGAGTGTCCAGGACGCACTTCATTCCTCCACCAGCAAGCTGTGACTGCACAGGTGAACTGCTGTCTGCCAGGGAGGCTTGAGAGACCTAGTGCCCGGTGAATTTACTGGGGGCTAGACACATAGGCACCCTCTATCTACCATATACCAAAATTCCAGCTCCCAGAAGGAAAGCAGATGTTCCTCATAAAGAAGCGACGTTGTTTGTGCAAACAGTGTAGGGACAGTAAGCCACCTTACCAGTTTGGGAATGGGAGGGATAAACCTGAAATCCAAATTCCCAGGCTGGGTGCGGTGGCTCACACCTGTAATCCCAGCACTTTAGGAGGCCGAGGCGGGCAGATCACTTGAGGTCAGGGGTTCAAGACAGGCCTGGCCAGCATGGTGAAAACCCATCTCCACTAAAAATACAAAAATTAGCCAGGCGTGGTGGCAGGCACCTGTAATCCCAGTTACTTGGGAGGCTGAGGCAGGAGAATCGCTTGAACCCGGCAGGCAGAGGCTGCAGTGAGCCAAGATCACACCACTGCACTCTGGCCGGCAACAGAGTAAGACTCTGTCTCAATAATAATAATAATAATAACAACATGTTCTGTATTTGATTGATCTGCCTTTTCCAGTCAACAATTTAGCAGCCTTATCTTCCCATATTTTCCAGCATACGTTATACCACCATTTCTTGTGGCTGCAGTGGATTTTATTGTATCTCACAATTAGAAAACAGTTCTTTGCAAGGAACCCTATGCTGCCGTAATAGGGTATCACTCACTGTTTTTCACTTCAGTATGGGACAGTGACAACTTTGGCAAGACAAGAGTGAGGATCCATTGCCTGGATGACCAGGCGGGGAGGCAGCAAGGCCTGCTGGAGGCAGCAGGGGATGTGAGGAGGACACAGAATCCTCCTGGCATCTGGGGTCCAGGCGTCTCCTGATGGCACAAATCCCTAAGGCCATCAAGCACATTTTGGTCAAGCTAGAAGCAGGCTGGGAATAAAAGGAACATTATTTCTTAGAATAATTTTATCTTTGTTGACTAACTTGAGGTATCTAGATTAACCATGAAATACAAAATGTTGGCCGGGCGTGGTGGCTCATGCCTGTAATCCAGCACTTTGGGAGGCCGAGGCAGGTGCGTCACCTGAGGTCAGCAGTGTGAGACTTGCCTGGGCAACATGGTGAAACCCTGTCTCCACTAAAAGTACAAAAATCAGCTGGGCATGGTGGCGGGTGCCCGTAGTCCCAGCTACCCGGGAGTCGGAGGCAGGAGAATCACTTGAACCCAGGAGGCGGAGGTTGCAGTGATCCAAGGTCGCACTAATGCACTCCAGCCTGGGCAATGAGAGTGAAACTCCATCTCAAAAAAAAAAAAAAAAAAAAAGCGCGCACACACACAGACAGAAAACGTTAGTTTATTTTGAGATGGAGTCTCGCTGTCTCGCTCAAGCTGGAGTGCAGTGACGCAATGTCTGTTCCCTGCATCCTCCACCTCCTGGTACAAGGGATTCTCCTCCGTCAGCCTCCCATGTAGCTGGGATTACAGGTGCATGCCACCACACGCAGCTAATTTTTATATTTTTAGTAGAGACAGGGGTTTTGTGATATTGGCCAGGCTGGTCTCGAACTCCTGACCTCAGGTGATCTGCCCACTTTGGCCTCCCAAAGTGCTGAGATTACAGGCGTGAGCCATCGCATCTGGCCCAAATGTTAATTTTAATGGAGAAAAAGGTTATCTTAGAAATTGGGATTTACTAAAGCCTAGTTACTACAATGGGCCCTCTGAGACCTCACAGCCAGAAACACAGTTCTAAAGCTGTCAGCCTCTTTAGCACACAGCACACCAATTTTCACACATAAAATGTGTCCACTGCCAGCCAGTGACCTGCTCAAAATGGCATCTCATTCTCCTTTGGCTGTCGCTTTCACAGTGAATTTCAGGAAACATCAGAACAGATGGAGGCAGCTTGGCCTCGTTCATTCAAGTGATTTACGTGTGTGCTTGTCGTGTTTATTTGTAGGTCAAAGGCCCTTTCAGAAGCAACTCCATTTCGTTGGATAACTTGAAACCCTTCAGAGTGTACTGTTTACAAGTCCAGGCACAGCTGCTTTGGAACAAAAGTAACGTAAATGGGCACCTAAGCAACACATCTTGCTACAAAATCATGGCAGATGGTAAAATATACCTTCTTATGTCCTTTCTGAACAGGGAAAAGAACACTTCTCCAATAGTGAAATTGGGGAATGCTTATGAGGTCCTGGGTGTTGGGAGTGGGGAGACCCAGTGAGAAGAGCATGCTGAGCTGCAGGGATAATGAGCCGCAGAGGCTGCCAGACAGCTACCGCTTGCTTTATTTCATTACAGGATTGACTTTAGCTATCACTGTAAGCATACCAGGTGGGGCAGGGGAGGGGGACTTGTCCATTTTACTAGGACAGGAATGCTCTTCAAGCAGCACGGACAGAACGTTAGCTGACGTTTGTGTTGTGTGTAGGATGGTCATTCTGTTCACTTTCGGGTCCTCTTTTTAGCCTCCACCAAGCTTCAGCAAGTCATCCTGATCTCTGTGGGAACATTTTCATTGATGTCGGTGCTGGCAGGGGCCTGTTTCTTCCTGGTCCTGAAATACAGAGCCCTGATTAAACATTGGTTTCATACTCCGCCAAGCATCCCGTCACAGATAGAAGAGGTATGTGTGCACACATCTTTTTTTTCTTTTTCTTTTTCTTTTTTAGGTGGAGTCTCACTCTGTCACCCAGGCTGGAGTGCAGTGGCAACATCTCTGCTCACTGCAACCTCCGCCTCCCGGGTTCAAGCAATTCTCCTGCCATAGTCTCCCAAGTAGCTGGGATTACAGGTGCACACCACCACAGCCTGCTAATTTTTTGTATTTTTAGTAGAGATGGGGTTTCACTGTGTTGGCCAGGCTGCTGGATGCAGTGGCTCATGCCTGTAATCCCAACATAACATTTTGAGAGGCTGAGGCAGGCAGATCACCTGAGGTCAGAAGTTCAAGACCAATCTGGCTAACATGGTGAAACTCTGTCGCCATGAAAAATATAAAAAATTAGCTGGGCATGGTGGTGCATGCCTGCAATCCTAGCTATTCGGGAGGCTGAGGCAGGAGAATCGCTTGAACCTGGGAGGCGGAGGTTGCAGTGAGCTCAGATCATGCCACTGCACTCCAGCCTGGGCGAAAAAGAGACTCTGACTCCAAAAAAAAAAAAAAATGTGTTTCATTGTTGAAAAAAGAAAAGTTAACACAAAAATTAGCTGGGCATGGTGGTGCACGCCTGCAATCCCAGCTACTCAGGAGGCTGAGGCAGGAGAATAGCTTGAACCCAGGAGGCGGAGGTTGCAGTGAGCTGAGATCTCTTCACTGCACTCCATCCCGGGCAGCAGATCAATACTCAGTCTCAAAAAGAAAAAAAAAGAAGTTACGTCATTGGTGGACAAAATCAATTTATACCTGAATAAAAGACAACTATACCAATTAAAACTAAAGTAGGCTGGACGTGGTAGCTCACACCTATAATCCCAGCACTTTGAGGGGCTGAGGTGGGCAGATCATTTGAGGTCAGGAGTTCGAGAGCAGCCTGGCCAACTTGGTGAAACCTTGTCTCTACTAAAAATAACAAAAATTAGCCAGCTTGGTGATGCCTGCCTGCAATCCTAGCTACTTGGGAGGCTGAGGCAGGAGAATCCCTCGAACCCGGGAGACAGAGGTTGTAGTGAGCCAAGATCACGCCACTGCACTCCAGCCTGGGCGAAAGAGAGGCTCTGACTCCAAAAAAAAAAAAAGTGTTTCATTGTTGAAGAAGAGAAAGAGAAGTTATGTCATTGGTGGACAGAATCAACTTATACCTGAATAAAATAACAGCTATACCAACTAAAACTACAGTAGGCCAGGCGAGTGGCTCACGCCTGTAATCCCAGCACTTTGGGAGGCCGAGGTGGGCGGTTCATTTGAGGTCAGGAGTTAGAGACCAGCCTGACCAACATGGTGAAACCCGTTCTCTACTAAAAGTACAAAAAATTAGCCAGGCATGATGGCAGGCACCTATAGTCCCAGCTACTCGGGAGGCTGAGCAGTACAATCGCTTGAACCCGGGAGGCAGAGGTTTCAGTGAGCCAAGATCACACCACTACACTCCAGCCTGGGTGGCAGAGTGAAACTCCATCTAAAAAAAAAAAAAAAAAAAAGACCTAAAGTAAAAGGTCTGGCTATAATGAACCGGTAAACTAATTACAATTTTGCTTTTTAATCTCCCCAAGTATTTAAAGGACCCTGCTCAGCCCATCTTAGATGCCTTGGACAAGGACAGCTCACCAAAGGATGACGTCTGGGACTCTGTGTCCATCATTTCATTTCCAGAAAAGGGGCAAGAAGATGTTCTCCAAACACATTGAACCAACGCATGGGTCTAGCCCACCAGCCCCCTGGAAGAGGCCATCAAGCCAACAGAGCTGCTGGAGTTCTGTCTGGACTTTACAGAGACCAGTATTCCCTTTTCCTGCCTCTAAAAGGCATGTCCCTGCCTTGTGAGAGACAGTGGGTCTCGGGGAGTGACAAGCTTTTCTTTTTTCTTGAAGAATTTTCAAAATCATACAAGTTTCCGGAATGATTCTACGGAGATATCCCAGGAAAATTAAGGCTTCTCTTAAACACTAAAAAGGCATGTAATTGCTTGTTAGCAAAATGGATATGACACATCTCTGATACATTTTTTATTGGTTGGGCTGAGCGGTGAGAAGACCTGTCTTCATCTTCTCAACTTTGGCAAATGAGCCAGAGCCCCTTGGGCAGGTCACACAACCTGTCCCAGCCTGTCCCAGAGAGTGACCTGAATGGCCCTTCACATTCAGTGTGCTGGCTTCAAATGTAATTAATCCTGTAAATATATTCCTAGTAACTTAAGATTTTTTTTTTTTTTTTTT